CGTGATGACACAGCTCGAAAATCGAATACAGAGAGTCCCACAACGTGACTTCTTGATTGTGGCTGGGGATTTCAATGCGCATGCGGTGACTGAACGTCCTCATATCGGACCAAGTGTGCCTCATCGAGTACGGTTTGCGAATGCAGATGTGAAGACACTGCCCTCGCTCTGCAAATCCTGTGGACTAACTGCGCTGAACACATGGGCTTCTGGCCATCGCAGTACGTATGCTAACAGTGATGGCACATATTCCTCTCAGATCGATTTTTTGCTGGTCAGACTGCACGATGCTCGGAGGAGATCCAAGGAGGCCTACTCGGATAAGCACTTACAGAGATGGATCAAAACACTTTCCAGTGCGAGCCACTCTGTTCATTCCTCCTTACAGTCCTACACCCAGCAAGCCACGGCCGTTTGATGCCACAGCCCTGGATGCGAGCTTTCGGCGGAAAGATGACAACTGGCAGGCATACTCACATCGTCTGACGGAAGCAGTGGTGAGGACAATGCAAGTGAGACCGTCTTGGCAAGAACTGGATGAAGTGATGGTTAGTGTATCAGCTGAGCACTATCCTCCTCCACGCAAGTCTCAGCCAGTAGCAGGTCCAATTCATCAGGAATATTGGAAGAAAGTGCGGCAAATCCAGGCGCACAAGAGGGCTGGAACCGAGCATAATTCAGAATGCCAGAAGCTTGTGGAGGACATCAAGGAGGAGGCGCGGACTTTCAAAAAACAGCAAAAACAAAGAAAGCTAGAGAAGCAAGAGCAGTTGCTTCTACAAGCCCAGGAAGATAAAAGGCAACAATCCCACAAACTGGCTCATACTCTCAGGAAACTTGCTCCGTGGCGCCCAGTGCAGAGAGTCAACCTAAGGGATCAAGCAGGTGAGCCGCTTGATACGGAGGCCTCACTAAAAACTATGCGCGAATACTCGAGTCAAATCTTCTCCAAAAGTTCTCCTTTGCACTCAGTAGCTGCTGTGCCCAGAGCAGCGATCACCGCCTTGCAGGTATCCTCACAAATCAAGACAGTGCCAGTGGGGAAAGCAGTCCCCAGCACCTCAGCCCCAGTATCAGCTTGGAAGAGTCTAGGTCCTGAAGCCCACGAACACATAGCAGGTCTAATCAACTCTGAGGTGTCCCAATCAGAAATTTCCCCTTATCTAAAGGACCCTCGAATTGCATGGATCCCCAAACCGGGCAAGCCAGCCACCGCCATGCAAAACCTGAGGCCCATAGGAGTCATCAGCGTGCCAGGCAAAGTGCTAGCAGGCGCAGTGAAGACTCGCATTGCACCAGCACTGCAGGTGAGCTCACAGCTTCAGCCTCAATTTGCGTATATCCGGCAGAGGGGGGTGCGGGACGCTATCGCGAAAGCATGTCAGCACCTTGATTTCGCGCAGCAGCTCCGTCAAGAGCATCGCAGGGACCTGCACAAGTCCCAACGCGGAGCCAGGCAGGCTCAGCTGTCAGGGGCACTCACTATTTCGGTTGATCTGAGCAAAGCTTTTGATTCTGTTAATAGACATGAGCTGCTAGCTGCCTTGGATCGCCTGGGAACAGACCCTGTTACGAAAGAACTGGTAGTTCAACTACACAGTGAGACCTCCTACAACATGGGCACAAGTGGACTAGAGATTCAAGTTCCCACTTCTTCAGGAATCAAACAAGGTTGCAAGCTAGCCCCGGCATTGTGGTCTGCGCTGACACTTCTAGTCATGAGCAGAATGGAGCAGAAATGGGGCCCAGATAGCAAGCAAGCTAGGGACATCCTAACGGTCTTTGCAGACGATTTCCTGCTCCAGGAAACCTTCTCGAGCTTTCCTGAACTTCAGAAAGTCCTGCTCAGAATAGAGGCTCTCTTTCAGTCTCTTGAGGACGTGGGGCTGGAAGTCAATCCAACGAAGTCCAAAGCCTTGCTAATGGTTCAGGGCACTCAGCAGTCCATCTTTCGCAAGAAGCACACGATGCGCAAAGAGAAGCAGTTGCACATCGTCCTTCCCTCAGGACATAAGATTCCGATTCATCACAAACTAACATATCTAGGGGTGCAGCTCAGCTATGGATCCTACAAAGACCAGACTGTTGACTATAGGATCGCCCAAGCTCAAGGCAAGTTTGAGCTACTTCGACACATCCTGTGCTCCACTAAGGCCTTGGAGGCTTCAAAGAAGTTGGAGATCTGGAGGGTCTATGTGGAATCCTCACTCTTGCATGGGCTTGTGGCCACTGGCATCACCTCATCAGGTCTTCAGAAGCTTCAGAGTAAATACTCGAGGATGCTAAGATCCATCTTTAAGCAACATCAGCACTACAGCCATATTGACACGAAGACTCTGTTCGAGCAATACAAGGTTCAGACTCCTCAAGCAGTTTTGATCAGCCAGATGAAAACTATCAAGACGCACTAGATGCCTGTCAGAAGTCCAACCCGGATCAGAACATACAGTGGCATCTGGGACTTAGAGGTAGGATTGTTGCGCTGCAACAGGAGCTTCAGAGCATGCATTTGGACCTGACTGAGGCAGACCAGGAGGTACCGTGCTCTCTGTGCGATCGGAAATTTTCCAGCGCTAAGGGTCTTCAGCAACATACTCTGGTGAAGCATGGAGGACAGCGTGCGAATCAGCTAGGCCCAAAATTTCAGGTCACTGTGCATGCTGCAAAGGACTTCCGCAATGTGCGGCATGCAACAGGCAGTTGCGCACAATGCATCAACTTCGCAGACATGTGGAGTCAGGCATTTGCCCTCAGCTGCACGAGCTGAAAGAACGAGCCAAATCCTGTACAAGCTCAGAAAGCATAGCTATGATCTATCAGTCTAGCGTGCAGGAACAACTTAAGAAGGATCCTGATCTTCTACTAAAAAAGAGACATGTCACTCAGCATCTATTAACGAACTGCAGTCTCTGTGGGCAATACATTGTTGGCCACAAAGGAGTGAAACAGCACATTCAGAAAGCTCATCCCGCTTTCTGGGCACAATCCTCGGCATCCATTCTTGCCAACATGCGAACACATAAGCGCCTCCTGCACAAAAAAGAAGAATGTAGGTATTGTCGCATTGTGGTAGATGCTCCAGTACGCCATGCAGAGCAATGTGTGGTTCTGCTTCAGACATACGCCATGAGTGCAGCTTGTGCCAAGCCTATGGAACTGCCAGATCTCTTCAGTGCAGATCCTCCAATTAGCCAGGTGAGAGGAAGGGAGGCTTCCTCCCAGGAGGCTTCCTCCACCAGTAGGATTCGGTCTCACCAGGCACCAGCAAGCTCCCAGCGAGACGCACCAGCAGAGGGGAGACCTTCGTCAGTGCCCGTCACAGCCTGGTCTCTGGCCTATCATAATCCGCATCAACTGTGCTATGCACACACAGTAGTGCATATCCTTGCCTCGCTTGCATCAGAGGGTATTCTTTCTGATCCATATCTGAGACAAATATTGACGGAAATTGACGCAGTAGGGGGTCGTTCTTCTAGTGTGGATGTTCGTAGGCTGCGACAGCTACGTCCTCTGCTGACGGGATGGCGATTCAGACCCAGGCAAGAAGATGCATCCCAGTTTCTAGCACATATCATTCAGAGATCCCATGTGCTTTCAGCAGATGTTTGGGAAGCGAGGGTTCAAATCACAGCACCCGTGGAAAGAATCAGCGTAGAGGATAGAGGGGGTTTGATTCTTTTCTTGCCTGACCCACCAGATGGCCTCTCCACACTACAGCAAGCCATTTCTCAGTGGGCGCACAGGGGGAGCACCTATGGGCTACTCCCGGGAGTGAACCTGGTTTGCATTCAGATCCAAAGGTTTGAGCACTTGGAGAAAACAAATCGGCCTCAAGTTTTAGACACAACTCTGGAGCTTCCAGAGTTTATAGATAATGGCACGACAACCGCTGTGGTCAGCTTTCGACTATATGCATTCATCATTCATCTAGGAGATGATTGGAGATCTGGGCATTATAGGACAGGTTTTTTGAGAGAAGAAGTGGCGTATCTCGCGGATGATGACCGCTCACCACGGCGAACTACGCTCCTCTCGGATCAAATTTGCCAGGGATCGTATTTGGCTTTCTACGTAAGGGTCTAGCTCGCTCTACCTTCGCATGCGGAGGTTTCCTCCGGAGGCTTCCTCCGCAGCAGTGTTCTTTCTTCTTAAAGTAGACCTATCTGCCTGCTGTTGCCTAAGGCAACTCGGCATGAACGCTGCCCTGCGCGCAATAAAGCCATGATCTCGTGCTAAGATGTATAGTCTCTTGCGTGAAACTTTCACATGCGGAGGTTTCCTCCGGAGGCTTCCTCCCCGGTAGTGTTTCTCACAGTAGACCGTTCTGCCTGCTGTAGCTTAAGGCCAAGCTGACCCATTCTTGTCCCTGAACCTGAAGCATCTGAAAGAGCCCTGCGCGCACTTCAGAACATGTGAGGTCTCCTCCAGGTCGGTGGGTTCAGATTAGGGTCACTTTTTCGGATGCAACCTTGCCTTGTCGCAGCGCTGGCCCCGAGAGCCGTGCAAGGTGTCCCAGGTCAGGTGCTTCCCTCTTCGCAAAGTACTCGTGCCTATGCGAGACCTCCTCGTCAAGTTCGGTCAGTTGGGGTCACATTTTCTCGACCAGGAATGCAATTTTGCCCTGTCGCAGCGCTGGCCCCAGGAGCCGCGCAAGGCGTCCCAGGTCAGGCTTCGCAAACTTAGCTACCCTGCCTCCAACTTGGGCATCCTTCTTGGAACGTGCAAGGCCGCCTTGGTGCGCTCTGCCTACGGCCCTCTGCCAGTTGTTTAGCGTTACCTGTGTGAGACGTCACTAGACAGGAACGCTGAGTGTCGGCCTCACCAGAGGTACGGCTCGCTAAACAGCTGGTGCGTGGGTGCTGGACGCAGTGACTCACAGTAGGGTGTCGGGGTAGCCGCGCTTATTTTTCACTCTTTTGCAGTGCTGAGTACTTGATATCGGAGGCTGCCTCCGTGCCAACTTCAATTTCTTCATTGATTCATTGCATCAGATTAGGAGGTTTCCTCCTGAATATCCTTAAGTACTCTGCCAAAGCAGATTCAGTATAGCAGGTAGTGAGACCTGGCAATCTGGAGGAAGCGATCCTCTCGAAGTCCAAAAGGCCGGACTGTGAAATAAAAAAAGGCGGGTGAGACCTTCTATATCACACTTGCCCGCCTTAATCACACCAAACTCAGCTAGCGCACAGCTATAGCCTGCAACACAACATCGGGGCCAGCCGGCACTGCAGCAGTCGCGGGTGCAGGTGAGCCAGTAGGAAGCGGTCGTAGGGTGCCCAGCCAGCACAGCGCTATCGCAGCCCTGAGGGGCGGATGCATTCCACATACTCGAACATAGCTGTGCACAACAATCCTTTCAGCAGCCCTGAGGGGCGTGAAGTACGAACTAGCAAAGACTGCTGGAGCTCCCAAGGCGGATACAGAGTAGCCGACGTGCCGAGGATCCAAAGTGATCAGAGGTCCACATGCTGATTCTGGCAGTGAGTGCAATGCAAAATGTTGTTGTTGTTGTTGTTGTTGTTGTTGTTGTTGTTGTTGTTGTTGTTGTTGTTGTTGTTGTTGTTGTTGTTGTGGTTGTGGTTGTGGTTGTGGTTGTTGTTTGTGGTTGTGGTTGTTGTTTGTCATTGTTGTTGTTGTTGTTGTTGTTGTTGTTGTTGTTGTTGTTGTTGTTGTTGTTGTTGTTGTTGTTGTTGTTGTTGTTGTTGTTGTTGTTGTTGTTGTTGTTGTTGTTGTTGTTGTTGTTGTTGTTGTTGTTGTTGTTGTTGTTGTTGTTGTTGTTGTTGTTGTTGTTGTTGTTGTTGTTGTTGTTGTTGTTGTTGTTGTTGTTGTTGTTGTTGTTGTTGTTGTTGTTGTTGTTGTTGTTGTTGTTGTTGTTGTTGTTGTTGTTGTTGTTGTTGTTGTTGTTGTTGTTGTTGTTGTTGTTGTTGTTGTTGTTGTTGTTGTTGTTGTTGTTGTTGTTGTTGTTGTTGTTGTTGTTGTTGTTGTTGTTGTTGTTGTTGTTGTTGTTGTTGTTGTTGTTGTTGTTGTTGTTGTTTGTTGTTGTTGTTGTTGTTGTTGTTGTTGTTGTTGTTGTTGTTGTTGTTGTTGTTGTTGTTGTTGTTGTTGTTGTTGTTGTTGTTGTTGTTGTTGTTGTTGTTGTTGTTGTTGTTGTGGTTGTTGTTGTGGTGTGGTTGTGGTGTTGTTGTTGTTGTTGTTGTTGTTGTTGTTGTTGTTGTTGTTGTTGTTGTTGTTGTTGTTGTTGTCGTTGTCGTTGTCGTTGTTGTTGTCGTTGTTTGTTGTTGTTGTTGTTGTTGTTGTTGTTCTGCTGCTGTTGTTGTTGCTGCTTGTTGTTGTGGTTGTTGTTGAGTGAAAAATAATAAAACAAACTTGTGCTAAATTAAAGACAAAAGCAGTTTTGCAGCTATAGCGGCGCGGAAGCAGAATAAAACAAAATAAATTGGGGTGCGGCATTGAGACGTAGGAGAGTATGGTGTGTTTTTGTCATTTTTTGGGAATGATACCGCGGTTTCTGGGTACTCTTTTCTCCTGCATCTGCAGGCATGCTCACGTACCGTTTTTTTATTTGATTTTATACTACACGGGCCCCAAAAATTGGTCAATTTTTGCGATTTTTTACTATGTCCGCGGTAGGATTTTTTGAGCAAACTTGCTGTTTTTGCTGATTCTAAGCGAAAAAAGTACAGAGTCAGCGTGATTGCAGACTTTTGGGAATCTATGAAAAAGCCTATTTTTGGGTCCGAAGCGGCTTCCCGCAAAAGCTGGCAGCGAGGCGAGCCTGTCCAAAAATGAGTTGTCCGGCTTCAAGACGACTCCCCGCCGTTGTTTTCCGAAATTGCAAGAACTCACTTTCATGAAAAATGCTATTACTGTGGCTTAGGATTGTTTTGTCGGCTAGTCGCCTCCGGGCCTTTGCTTCCCACCGCAGCCCAAAAAGTCCTAAGCGATAGGATGGCCTCTTGCCCTTTGCCTCCCACCGCAGCCCCAAAAAATCCCAAGGGATAGGAGGGCCTCTGGGCCTTTGCTTCCCATCGCAGTCCCAAAAATCCCAAGGAATAGGAGGGCCTCTGAACCTTTGCTTCCCACCGCAGCCCAAAAGTCCTAAGCGATAGGATGGCCTCTTGGCCTTTGCTTCCCACCGCAGCCCAACAAATCCTAAGGGATAGGAAAACCTCCAGGTCGTTGCTTCGCACTGCAGCCCAAAAAAATTCTCAAGCAGCCCCAAGAATCCCAAGAAATAGGAGGGCCTCTAAAGGCCCCAGGCCGGGCCCCCAAACCATTCAAACTATTCGAATCCTCCTCCCAATACTATTACGAGCAAGGGCCTCCCCCCAATACTTCATTACGAGCCCGGGCCGCCTCCCGATACTAAGTTACGAGCGCGAGGCTCCCACCAATGCTAAATTACGAGCCC